GTGTGTGTGTTAGTGAGAGAGCCCGGTGTTTGTGTGTGCGTGCTAGTGAGAGAGCCCGGTGTGTGTGTGTGTGCGTGTTAGTGAGAGAGCCCAGTGTGTGTGCGCGTGTGTGTTCGTGAGACAGCCTTGTGTGTGTGTGTGTGTGGCAGAGAGATGCTGCAGTACAGGGCTGCCTGTAGCCTCTCTCTCGGAGACAGTGGGACAGACCTGACCGGCTTCACTCACCGTGGGTCTCCATAGTAACCGGCAACACAGTCCTCACAGTGCGGCCCTTCAGTGTTCTCGGTGCAGAAGCATCTGCCTGTCAGCCGGTCACAGTCGCCCAACCAGCTGGCCCCGTGCCCATTACACGCACACTGACGACAGCCATCCTTCTGGGTGGCATTGCCATAGCTGCCGGGTTTGCACAGCTCACAGTGGTGCCCCATGGTCCACTCTGTGGGAAACCAAGTGAAGTAAACTCAGTGAGAAACAGACAAATCAGGCGTACTAATGCTCCAACTCACTCAGGAATTGGCTACTGATGGTCAACTCCTGTGTTCACACTTCACCAGATACACCCCTCTTCAGTCAACCTTCACTGATCTGCTCCCAGTTCATTCAGCACACACAGACAGATGTACAGACACACACGCACGCACAGAGGAACAACCCCTCCGTGGTCCTGGCAGTGATTCTCTGCAATGTGAGTCCTCTGACTCCCCTCATCCCACGCACAGCCTCCCACTGGCACCACACTTTGGTGATACCAGGACTGGCGAAGAATGTCATTCCTTCAAGATCAGTTCACAGGTTGTGAGAGTTGTTGGCTGGGCCAGCCTTTACTGCCTGCTCCTCACTGCCCTGGAGGAGGCGGTGCTGAGATGCCTTCTTCAAACACTGTAGTGCTTGGAGAGAGCCGATCAAGAGGGTGTAAAATAACTTGGCAAGGGGCACAAAACGCTGGGAGAGGCAGAGAACACAGAATGACTCGGTGACCAGTGGCATTCCGCAGGGACGTCTGCTCTTTGTGATCTTTATAAATGACTTGGATGAGGAAATGGAAGGGTGGGTTTGTAAGTGTGCCGATGACACGAAGGTTGGTGGAGTTGTGGACAGCATGGAAGGCTGTTGTAGGTTGCAACGGGACACTGACAGGATGCAGAGCTGGGCAAAGAAGTGGCAGATGAAATTCAACTCAGAAAAGTGTGAAGTGATTCACTTTGAATGCAGAATACAGGGTTAATGGCAGGATTCTCAGCAGTGTGGAGGAACAGAGGGATCTTGGGGCCCACGTCCATAGATCCCTCAAAGTTGCTACCCAAGTTGGTAGAGCTGTTAAGAAGGCGTACGGTGTGTTGGCTTTCATTGGCAGGGGGATTCAGTTTAAGACCCGTGAGGTTATGCTGCAGCTCTATAAGACTCTGGTTAGACCACACTTGGAATATTCTGTTCAGTCCTGGTCGCTTCATTATAGGAAGGATGTGAAAGCTTTAGAGAGGGTGCAGAGGAGATTTACCAGGATGCTGCCTTGACTGGAGGGCAGGTCTTATGAGGAAAGGTTGAGGGAGCTAGGGCTTTTCTCATTGGAGTGAAGAAGGATAAGAGGTGACTTAATAGAGGCTGTACAAGATGATGAGAAGCATAGACAGAGTGGACAGTCAGAGACTTTTACCCAGGGCGGAAATGACTATTATGAGGGGGCATAATTTTAAGGTGATTGGAGGAAGGTATAGGGGAGATGTCAGAGGTAGGCTCTTCACACAGAGAGTGGTGGGCGTGTGGAATGTGCTGTCGGCAGTGGTAGTGGAGTCAGATACTTTAGAGACTTTTAAGCGACTCTGGGATAGGCACATGGAGGATAGTAAAATGTAGGGTATGCAGGGTAGGTTGACCTTAGTAGGATAATAGGTCGGCACAACATCGTGGGCCGAAGGGCCTGTACTGTTCTTTGTTCTGTGTTCTAATGACGGAGACTGGGGTACAAGAGGAGTTAGAACACAAAGGAAGGCTGACGTTTTTGGTTACAAGGACAGCACTGCAGTTCTGCAGAAAGAGGATGTTCCAGAGGGATTCAGGAATGTAACAACTTGACTGAAGCACAGATGGCCGCAATCCC